CTGGAACAGCACAGCTCAAAGAAGTCTCTTGGGTACACAGATATGGCAAAGTGACAATGTGTGCTGACACTTCTCCGGACCGAACCATTGGTAGTTAACGTCATGCTGGCAATATCCACTTCTGAAACAGAAAGACCAAATACTGAACATGCAACAATTTACACAAACAATACAACTTAAAACCTACACATGTGTTTGTGTGAAAATTTAATACATAAGACTGTGGGTTTGTCTGTGTGCATGTTTGTTTGTTGGCATCGATCCTTTTTTTCGTTGGAAGAGTTATTAACATTGTGTTATGGAGACGCATGGGAATCACATCCCATAGCAACAGGCAGTGTGGCCAGCAAGAAGGATTGGTAGACTTTTTGTGTGTCTTCTTTTGCTCTGCGTTCATCAGCTGTAAACTCTGGAAGAAACTTATAGTCGTTCGTCCATAGGGGCTTTGTGCTTGCGGCCGGACCTGAGTGTACATCCGGTTTACTGGGTTATTTGTTTGCAGTATGTTACTCTGTACCTCTCGGGGAGATTTGCTCGACTTTGAAAGAAACCGTCAGTCATTCTTTTTTTTTAGGATGACTATAGCTAAACCAGTGGACACAGTAACTAGCTGTGATAGGGCGTGAGTATGTACCGTCTCTGTTCAGTATCAGGTTCTCAGCCGTGCTGTCGGATGCTTTTTGCGAAGGAGATATAGGACTTGATTTCAGCTACCGCATCAATGAAAACCTCTTCATCTTGAGGCGGCTTGAAGCAGAAATACCAAGGCTAGATCTTGTACTATCAGGTATCTTCTCTGTACCGACAACCGTGCTTTTATTGCTGGCTTAGAAGCAAATCAACAAGATAATATGGACATATTTTGTTAATGTCTGTACTAACTCTGGGCATACCATCAGCACGGAAAAAACCAAAATAACGTAACAGCCAGCATCAGGCAAAGTACAAACGGAACCAACCATTTTAATAAATGGCAAGAAATGAAGGGTTCTGTATAGACTTACATAGCTCGGTCCTACATTGTCTCAAAATGTATCCATCGACTACAAAGCCCACACCAACATCTCTTAAGTCAGTTCCATCGACTACAAAGCCCACACCAACATCTCTTAAGTCAGTTCCATCGACTACAAAGCCCACACCAACATCTCTTGTCAGTTCCATCGACTTTGAGACACACCAGGATCTTTTAAGCCAAATCCATCGACTACAAAGCAAACATCAATATCTCTAAAGTCAGCTCCATTGACTATGAGGCACACACCAAGATCTCTTAAGTCAGCTCCATTGACTATGAGGCACACACCAACATCTCCAGAGTCAGATCCATCGACTATGAGGCACACACCATGATCTCTAAAGTCAGCTCCATCGACTATGAGGCACACACCATGATCTCTCATCTTCATTGACTATGAGGTACACACCAAGATTTCTCATCTCCATCGACTATGAGGCACACACCAAAATCTCTCATCTCCATCGACTATGAGGTACACAAACATCTCTCAAGTCAGCTCTATCTACTATGAGACACACACCAAGATCTCTAAAATCAGCTCCATCGACTATGAGGCAAATACCAGGATCTCTAAAGTCAGCTCTGTCGACTATGAGGCAGATACCAGGATCTCTAAAGTCAGCTCTGTCGACTATGAGGCAGATACCAGGATCTCTAAAGTCAGCTCTGTCGACTATGAGGCAGATACCAGGATCTCTAAAGTCAGCTCTGTCGACTATGAGGCAGATACCAGGATCTCTAAAGTCAGCTCTGTTGACTATGAGGCAGATACCAGGATCTCTAAAGTCAGCTCTGTCGACTATGAGGCAGATACCAGGATCTCTAAAGTCAGCTCTGTCGACTATGAGGCAGATACCAGGATCTCTAAAGTCAGCTCTGTCGACTATGAGGCAGATACCAGGATCTCTAAAGTCAGCTCTGTCGACTATGAGGCAGATACCAGGATCTCTAAAGTCAGCTCTGTTGACTATGAGGCAGATACCAGGATCTCTAAAGTCAGCTCTGTCGACTATGAGGCAGATACCAGGATCTCTAAAGTCAGCTCTGTTGACTATGAGGCAGATACCAGGATCTCTAAAGTCAGCTCTGTCGACTATAAGGCAGATACCAGGATCTCTAAAGTCAGCTCTGTCGACTATGAGGCAGATACCAGGATCTCTAAAGTCAGCTCTGTCGACTATAAGGCAGATACCAGGATCTCTAAAGTCAGCTCTGTCGACTATGAGGCAGATACCAGGATCTCTAAAGTCAGCTCTGTCGACTATGAGGCAGATACCAGGATCTCTAAATTCAGCTCTGTCGACTATGAGGCAGATACCAGGAACTCTAAAGTCAGCTCTACATTTGGCAGACTATACTGCAATGTCTGACATCGATGTAGAAACTGTCTGCAAAACTAAAGTGAAAGCATACAGAGTTGCAGTTCTTCCAGTTCTGCTGTGTGACTGTGAGACATAGACAGCTTACAGAGTTGCAGTTCTTCCAGTGCCGCCGTATGACTGTGAGACATAGACAGCATACAGAGTTGCAGTTCTTCCAGTGCCGCTGTATGACTGTGAGACATAGACAGCATACAGAGTTGCAGTTCTTCCAGTGCCGCCGTATGACTGTGAGACATAGACAGCTTACAGAGTTGCAGTTCTTCCAGTGCCGCTGTGTGACTGTGAGACATAGACAGCATACAGACATCATACTAAGAAGTTCAACCACTTCAGCACAGTCTGTCTGAGAACATTAAGCGGCGAGACAGGGTCTTGGATACTTCGTGTTGGATAGAGCTGACCTTCTCAGCATCGATACCATACTGATGCAGTCACATGGTGGCTGAACCAGTCCCAAAAAAAATAATCTTTTATGATGAGATATAGGAAGATAGGAAGAAATAAGCTCTAAGAGCATGCTAAAAGCATCACTAAAAGTCTTTAGTGTAAGCTCTGACACCTGAAAGATTCTGCAAAAGACCGAACTGAATGGTGAATGTATATCCACAGAGACTCAGCGACTTCTCAGGCATCTAGAAAATGGCAGCTGAACAGCGCAGACAGGTTTAAAAATACCCTATAACAGGTCCTTTACCTATAAGTGTCCCCAGCCATAGACCGGTATTAGGCTCACAGACAATCAACTTCAGCTTCATGAACGATGAAAGAAAGAGTGTTTATCCTCATTTTTGATCGACGAACAACAATAATCAGAGATAATAACAGACACATCAACAGAGAAAGCAAATAAATTGACCTGATTCATCTTCGACTGAAGCCTTCTTTCGAGGGCCAAGTCGACAAGCAACAAGAGCAAAATGCCAAAAGGGACTCATTGTACTGAAGTGTATGATAGCCCCTGGCATAGAGTAACAAAGATGGCTGTTCATAACCACTGTCTGGTCCTCTCAGTAGCATATTTTATGTTTAGAATACTGAAGAATCAGCTGATGAAGCTCAGACACAGACAGAATGAAGCCATGTATGCGATTTTTAGATGTACAAGAGACACTCACTATATTGATCATCTGTCCGGTACTGCTGACTACTGCAGCCAGGTTCAACATGCTACAAATGGGCTGACAATTCGAAGTAGTCACAGGAAACAACAACAACGAATCCTTCATGAAGTCTTTGATTCAGCTAGGCGCCAAAGACTGGTGAATGGACAATTTAGAATGGTAAATGCACAAGACAGAATCCGCTATCCATCCATGTTTGAACATAATTGGGCGAGGGGAGGAATACATTTCAGCTATTGGTAAGTGATGTGATTGTCTATATAGCTGAATGTGTTACTGGTAGGTACAAGAAGTGCAGTTGTGTTGTCCATGGGCAAATGCGATTAGATGAAGCTAAGACACTGAAACCAGCATTTGATACAGAAATATCTAATCTAAGAATGTAGGTGGAGGCAGTCACTGCTTTCAGCTGGTTTTAGAACCAGACGCACAAATATATCGTGAGTGTAACGAACTGCAAGCATGGTAACATAAATGCCGAAAGGCCTATTCCGTGCATAGTGGCAAGCGTCGCTTCAGAGGCCCCTAGGATTTAGAATCCTTTGAATGTTTTCGCCAGCACAGTAAGGCGTGTTCGGAAATGAACAGATAACAAATTGGATAGTTCTGCACCAGTGCCTGCTAACTGATGCTTGACAATCTACATATAGTTACCAGCATTTGGTGAGCAAGTGGGTAATATTTAGGCAGGCATTACGGTAGCCACAGAGTAGTGGAACAGGGAGTGACTGTCTCTACCACTGTTGACAGAAAGTAAGGTTGTCAAGCCAAAGCAACCTTTGTTCCTAAAATTGATCCCAAGCTGGTCTTGGCATATCTCCAATCGTACATGTTCACCTTCTGATCGTTTCTTTCTAAATCTCTCAAACCAAATATACCCAATGAACGTCTGCCTGTGCCTCTCTGCCAACTGCCAACCGCAGCAGGAAATGTCCGTTGCTTGGCGTCATGACCCAGGCCGGCCCACCCTCTAAAATTGTCTAGGAGCATAAAAGGTCGAAACAATTATCGACGAGGGACCCTCCCCCACCCCCCCCCCCCCACGGAAGAAAGGTAAACTCCTGCTGTAGAGTTCTTCTTACTTACAGGGTTGAATGGTACTCGTCTGAAGCATATTATAGTATTTCTTGTCCTTATCACTGAGATGGTATACACATGCTTCAAAAAACCTTAACTCCTCAGTCACGGGATAGTGTTAGCGTCAGAGAATCAACATTATCCCAAACATAGTCCATACAGGGTTGATGCTATCAGCTCTGGCCATGCTTCTTCCCGTTTGCAAAATATTCATTTTCACTGCTTAACGGAAATAATATAAAAATTAGTGGTGATGATCAAGGCATACGAAATTATAGTAAGAAAACAATTAGAGAGGCAAAAGAGTAAAACACAGTAAGGGGGAAAAGTAATAATTGGAATACAAAAATGGTAATGAATTGGACTATGTGAAAGTGGGTATGCTCCGGGTTAACTCACCAGCAATTCTGGGAAGGGTATAGTTTTTGTCAGAATATACGGTTCTTCCTGCATCCTGGTTCCATTCCATACGTAGTGCTTTGCCATTATGAGAGGCTCTCAGTATGAGACTGACAGACATTTTCACTAGAGTCAGATTTACGTACGGACATGTGATGCAGTCAACTGGGCTTCCGGAACATGAACTGTTGGACAGTTCAACCATGCACAGCTGCAAGATGATTATGTTTGTGTCAACGCATGTTTCTACAATGTAATAAGTGATTAAAAAAATTTTAACGCAATAACGGAAACCAACGACATATAGGAACGATGGAAAGAATACTGTACAGAAATGTATGAGGATGTGACAGGTAATTCAAAAACGACTTGTGAAAGTTATAAAAAAGAACCAGAGCCTTTACTGGATGAGGTACGATCAGCAATACACAGCCTGAAGAATGGAAAGTCACCAGGTTGCGACGAAATACCAGGAGAACTAATTCAAGCAGGAGGAGAGGCCAGCGTCCGAATCTACCATGCACTGTGCACGAAGATCTGGAACAGTGGCATATGGCCTAAAGCGTGGAAAAGAACAGTCTATTTCCCTCTCCCAAAGAAAGCAAATCCTGAAACTATGCTCCAGCTACTGTACCATCGCATTAATAAGTCATGCTAGCAAAATCCTCTTACGAATTATCATGAAAAGGATTGAAAAGAAATTACTATTTGAGCTAGGCTCTCCTTTAAATGATCTACGCAGAAAGTTAACTCTAATAGAGCCTCACTCATATCTAAAATTCGCATTTCTTTTCCGACGAATCTACCGCGTCAAAAGTAGGATTAATTGCGCACGACATTTTCGCGAAACGCAACGGACTTTTTTACGACGATTAAACGGCGGCAAAACTAGGATTAACTACGGACGAAAAATTAGCGACACGCAAGAATACTTCCGATAGCGCATTCCTACGGCAGGGCCACAGTTATATGTAAGTTGCCGACCACTTTTCGCCGATTATAGTGCCACCTCCGAGAGTATCCCACGCGCCACTACGCGGAAGGGGCTAAACTAGATGGCTTGGACTCACGAGCAGCAGCTACCGCTTCTCCTGCAGCTTCCTTCATTGTTTTTGCTCGTGAGTCCTAGCCATCTAGTTAAGCCCCTTCCGCGCCACGCGTACCGGCCTAAATGCCACTATAGTGCCACATCCGAGAGTATCCCGCCGCGCGTAGCGGCACGGGGAATACTCTCGGATGTGGCACTATAGTCGCAAGGAAACAGTCATGAGCTACTTCTTCCGTCGCAGCTGCCGGCGTGGTCGCATTTGCCACGGTCAAGGGGTGGTCGGGATAGTGGAGCGCCATTGTGGCGGCTGCTGGTTTGAAGTTGTCCCGAGGCGACGAGCGCGTACATTAAAACGCACATTATTGATTATGTCTCGCCCTTAACGAGAATCGCGAACAAGCCGCGCCCTGTTGAAATGGCGGACAGAGAGAAAGAACAAGATATTCGGGCACTATTTTCAACTTCTGTGCCGCAATTTTCACATATAAAAGATTTAACTGTCGGTAAGTAGTAGACTTCGCCGTTTTCCTCATACTTTTCGTTCCTTATATTTTCCGAGCTACAACTTTTAAATCTTTGTAGGGTAGGACGTAATGAGGCTCTGTTAGGGTTAACTTTCTGCTTAGATCATTTAGCACCGTTATTTAAATGAGAGCCTATGAGCTACATAAAGCACAAGCGGGTTTCAGACAGGGTAGAGGAACTAGGGATCACATCTTTAATATGAGAATAACTTTTGAAAAATGCAGAGAATACAACGTAGATCTTCATGCTTGATTTATTGATTATAGCAAGGCATTTGATTGTGTCAAACATCAGAACCTGTGTACTGTTATGAGAAGTGTGGGGTTTCCAGTGCATTTGGTGTATTTAATTGAAAATCCTTCGCATAAACAGCAAGCACCCATCAGAGCAGCTGGTGAAACATCTCATTGGTTCCAGGTGCAACAGCCAGTAAGGCAGGCTTGCATTCTCTAACCAGACCTATTCAATATATACGCAGAAAATGAAATGAGAAATGTCAAAAATGACCAGACTTGTGACAGTTATGATCCACTCTAAATTGATGGCAACCCTATTCCGGAACTCCGCTACGCAGATGACACAGTCCTCCTTTCCAACAGCGTAAAGGGAATAGCAAATTTGATATTTTCCGTCTAAAAGCACAGTGAAGATCAAAATCTGTTCTTGAATTTAAAGAAAGTGAAAATAATGTCCACAAATAAGACGGGCTGTCACCTTAAAATAACAATAAATGATGAATACATTAAATATATCACAAACTTTGAATATCTAAGCTCTATAATAAACAGCAGTGGAGACTGACAAAAATTAAAAGGAGGATGGCCATAGCAATGCAAAGATTGAACAGCCTTAAAAGTCTATGGTTAAGCACCAGCATGGAGATCAAAATTAGAATTCTGAGAGACTACATCTTCCCTGTGGCACACACGGATATGAGTCGTCGACTATCTCCCAGTCCTTAAGAAAGAGAATAGGGGCTTTTGAGCTGAAATGCTATAGAAAGATTCCAATAATATCTTAGACAAAAAAGAGGAGATATACTGACATCTTGAAGGATCTGAACATCAAGGAAGATTGGCTAATAAACAGCATCTTTACTCGAAAGCTGAAAAATTTTGGTCATATCAAGCGCCACAACGGATTGGAAGGAATTATAGCAGAAGGCAAGGTACTAGGAAGGAGGGGCGGGGGTCGGCCGACACAAGATGGGTACAGGATATAAGTGACTCTTTGAGTGTGAAAGTTCATGAGGTGGGAGAGCTGGCAAGAGACCGGGTTTCTTACAGGCAGATCGGGATGAGACCGACGTTCTGCAAAGACCTGCTACATGATGATATATATATATATATATATATATATATATATATATATATATATATATATATATATATATATATATATATATATATATATATATATATATATATATCATCATCATCATCATGTAGCAGGTCTTTGCCATATATATATATATATATATATATATATATATATATATATATATATATATAACTAAAGATTGTGGTCAGTAAATAAATACAGCCCCCCCCCTCCCCGCCCCCCCCCCCAAAAAAAGTGAACACATATATATTGGTCATCTCATTAAAACGGCTTACTATTTATATGTAGCCTCCAGCCATGTAACCACCACCCATGTAACCACCAGGTGGTACTGATTGTTACTGATTGTTACTGATTGTTACTGAGTTTGCTTTGCAACTAAAAAAAAAAAATACTTTATATGTGACTGAATCTTCAAGCGAGCAGCATAGAAAAACAAATAACACACACTTAAATTTCATTCCACGTCCCGTCTTCAAGCGAGCAGCATAGGAAAACAAATGACACAGACTATACATTTGATTCCACATTTCTTGATGAAGCGAGCAACACAAGAGAACAAATGATAGACTTTATATTTGATTCCACGTTTCTTCTTCAAGAAAGCAACACAAGAGAACAAATAACAGACTTTACATTTGATCCCACCCTCCCTGTTGGAGCGAGCAAGATGAAATAACACATTACACGGACTGTATAGCAGAATTTTCGCAGAACGTCGCTCTCATCTCATGTTTGTGGCTTGGGCGTTGCGAACTTGCTTTGTGATGCCGGGGTGCCGAGTTCGATCCCAGCTGCGGACAGCATGTCTTGCACGTCATTAACCTTAATTTACAACCAGTGCATCGCCAAGGGTTACTTTCCACCAGCCTTTAAAATTGCCAAAGTCTATCCTCATCTTAAATCTAGATCATTAGACAGTAGTATTCCCATTAGCTATAGACCTATCTCTCTACTATCATCAATATCGAAACCACTAGAAAAACACATTTACAAAATAATACTCCAACATTTAGATCACAACGAACTTATTCTTGACAACCAGTCAGGGTTTCGACCAAAATATTCTTGTCATACTGCCTTAACAAATATGATAGAAAACTGACATCAGAATATTAACGAAGAAAAGATATGTGGTCCAGTGTTTATAGACTTTAAAAAGGCCTTTGACATGATAGACCACACTATTCTTATCAGAAAGCTGGTAACAATGAAAGTGAGTTCTAACCTATTAACATTAATAACATATTTTTTATTAAATAGAAAACAAGTTGTTTCACATAATAAATCTATATCACAGACTACTTCTTTAAATTCTGGAGTTCCTCAGGGTTCTATTCTTGGCCCCCTTCTATTTGCAATTTACATAAACGATCTGCCCTTAAGTCTGTCGTCGTCGTGCGATTTATTCGCTGATGACTGTACCATCCATTCAAATGCTCGAACTTGTAATATACTAGAGTTGTCTTTGCAACAAGAATTAAACAATGTAGTTAGCTGGAGCTACGCAAACCGCATACAAATCAACATAAGTAAGACACAATCTGTGTTAATAACAACAAGACAAAAACTGTGCACTTTAAACTCTCATAGAACCCTTCAACTCTACCTAGGTAACACATTAGTAGAAAGTGTAACTGAGCACAAAACTTTCGGCCTGATCATCGATGGAAATCTTATCTTCAACTCCCATGTGCAAACACTTGTTAAGCAAACTGCTACAAAGGTATACCAACTGGCAACAATCAAAAACTTTCTGGATGAAAACACTAGGAAATTATTCTATACTTCTCATATTCAGACCCACATAGACATTGCTCCACAATATGGGATGGATGTGCAAATTCAGTCATCAAACGACTGAAAGCACTCCACAGAAGGACTGTTCGTTTAAAAGCTAATAGTCATGGAAGTGACTGTTCGCATATATATAAAGAACTTATGTTATTACTGCTCCAGGAACGCCTAATATTCAATAAAGCTAAACTTATTAAGAAAATCATATCTAAATATGCTCCTTGTTACCTTTGGCCATTATTTAAATACAATGTAATGTGGCACAGTCGTGCCTATACATCCCCCAAGAAATAGATGTGCCTAAGTCGGCCAAGTGGAATGAATATGGTTCGTATCTCTCTTCAATCGTACTCAAGAACAAGGCCAGTGATGTAATCAATTACATAAGAGCTGGTTTATTCATAATATTCTCGTCACACACATTTCATAAATTCAATAAGCAATAGTATATGAACACTCCTTATTACTGGCTATTCGTATGCCTCTACGAGTTCCTTAAC